GATGTCTCTCTCTTTCCTTCCCCCCCTTCTCTTTCTCTCTCTCTCTCTCTCCCTTCCACTCTCTCTGAAAAGCAATGGAAAAATATCCTAGGAAACACACACAAAAATCCCATGACCTTTCAATCCGAAGATCATTGCTTTAACTACTGGGCTGAACCGGCTAGGGCCTATTCCCATTTTAATGATGAAGACACTAAAGCCAGGGGAAGCTAACTTGCCCAAGGTCACATTGCTCGGAAGTGGCTGAGTTAGGATTTGAATCCAGATGTGCTTGATGTCAATGACCAGAGACAAAGGTCAAGGGGTGGGGAGGACCACAGATCCAAGCAGGAGGTCCCACTCAATCCACACACACTGAGGACCTCCTGGGCAAGCACTGCGCTTGGCCTGGGGGTGGGAGAATGACTAAGGCGAATATATTAAATGGCAGGATGCAGTCCTTGCCAGTCTGCAACTTATCATCTGGGTGGGGAGGCAGGACATGAGGCTGGATGAAGCTAAAACCTGTAGGATGTGCAGAAACTTGATTTTATTACAGTATTGAGTTCAAATCAAAGCTCTGCCATTTCTTAGCTGTGTGACCTTGGGAAAGTCACTCCATCTCTCTGAATCTCTGCTTCTTCAACTCTAAGATGGGGATTAAAATTTGCTCCTACCTCATAGGGCTATTGGGAAGATCACACAAAGTACATTGTGTAAAATGCTCACCTATTTAATGTGGCCCCAGTAGATCTATTAATAGGAGTGCATGGTCCCTTGGTCACGTCACCTTCATAGCACAAGTCATTTCTTTACTCAAAATATCTTTAGTGACTCTCTGTCCATGAATTAGGTTTGAATATTTAGTCCTGCATCCAAGGCTCTCAGGAATATAGATGGTAATAGCCTTACAGCCTCGCCTCCATCTTCTCTTTTCTTAAAAATATATCTTCATTGATTTCAGAGAGAGGAAGGGAGAGAGAGAGCCATCAGTGATGAGAGAGTCGTCATTGATCGGCTGCCTCCTGCATGCCCCCAACTGGGGATCGGGCCTGCAACCCAGGCATGTGCCCTGACCAGGAATTGAAAGGTGATCTGGATCCTGGGTCAATGCTCAACCGCTGAGCCATGCCCTGCCAGGCTCTTTTTTCTTTTCATTTTAATCACTCCAACTTGCTCCAAATTAGTCTTGTTTTTGTCCTTACTCTCCTTACATTTGTTCTTGTATTTGCTCAATAAATATTAAGCATCTATTATGTTCCGGGCACTGTTCTAGGTACTAGTGGTAGACAGGTAAACAACACAAACAAAAATTCATGACTTCACGGAGGTCACATTTCAAGTCAAAGGGAGACAGACAATTTTTTAAAAATGTATGGTATGTCAGATGGTGATAAGTTGTGTGGAGGAAAAATAAGCAGGGGAGAGGAATGGGAATGCTGGGGGTACAACTTGCAGTTTTAAATAATGTCAGGGTGGGTAAGATGATATTTGAGTCAAGATTTGAAGGAGGTGAAGGTTTGAAGCACATAGATATCTGGGGTAGGTGCAATCTAAGCAGAGGGAACAGCAAGTTCCCTGAGTGAGGAGAGTGCTGGGAATTTTCAAAGAACATCAAAATGACCAGTATGGCTGGAGCAGAGAAACTAAGGGAGCCAATAGTTCACAGTCATATCAACTATGTAGGTCCTTAAAGGAGATTGTGAGGACTTACTGCCTTTTCCCCAAGTGAAGTAAAACATTAGAAAATTTTGAGCAGAGAAGGGTTGTGATCTTACTTACATATATTTATTTTATTTTTTAAAATATATCTTTATTGATTTCAGAGAGAGGAAGGGAGAGGGAGAGAGAGAGAAACATCAATGATGAGAGTCATTGATCAGCTACCTCCTACATGCCCCCTACTGGGGATCAAGACGGAAACGGGGGCATGTGCCCTGACAGGGAATCGAACTGTGACCTCATAGGTTGATACTCAACTGCTGAGCTAAGCCGGTTGGGCTATTTTTTTTTTTTTTGGTAAACTATACATAAAATTTAGTTTTAACTATTTTCAAGTGTACAGCTCAGTAGCATTAAGTACATTCACATTGTTGTGCAACAATAAGCACCCTCCATCTCTAGAACTTTTTCATCTACCCAAACTTAAATTCTGTATTCATTTTCTCAACCCCCTAGCCCCTGGTAACCATTTTACTTTCTCTCTCTGAATTTGACTACTTTAGGTGCCTCATATAAATGGACTCATGTAATAGTTGTTCTTTTGTGACTGGCTTATTTCACTTGGCATAATGTCTTCAAGGGTCATCCATGTTGTAACATGTCAGAATTTCCTTCCTTTTTAAGACTATATAATATTCCATTGTATTGTACACCATATTTTGTTTTTACATTCACTGTCAATGGATACATGGGTAGCTTCTACCCCTTGGCTACTGTAAATCATGCAGCTATGAACATGGGTGTACAAATATCTGTTTGAATTCCTGCTTTCAATTCTTTTGAGTATATACCTAGAAGTAGAATTGCTAGATCACACAGTAATTGTTTTTCAGAATCATTACCGTACTATTTCCCACAGCAGCTGTATCATTTTACATTTCCACTGTCTTAAGTTTTTTAAAAGCTTCCTTTCAGAATGAATTAAGACTAAACTATAGGATGGCAAGAGTGGACACAGAGATACCAGTTCAGAGGCTCTTGCCTTTATCCAAATGAGAGATGTTAGTGGCTTGGACCTACATAGTAGCAGTGGAGGTGGTGAGAAGTGACTGGATTCTGGTTTTGTATTGATAGACCCAACTAGATTTGCCAAGGAATTAGCTTTTGAGTATGAAAGAAATGTCTCCCAGGTTTTGGGCTTGAGCAATTGGAGGGATGAAGCTGCCATCTACAGCTTTGGGGAAGTTCGCAGTAAGTTGAGGTGGATACATCAGGAGTTTGGGGGCATGTTAAGTTTAATATGTCTATTATACATCCAAATAGAGATCAAGATCCTGAGGTTGAGAGATGTGTGTGGTGGAGAGAAAAGCTGAGAGTCACCAGTGTATTGATGACATTGAAAATCATAAGACTTGATGAAATCATCTGAATAATTATTATAGACATCGAAAAGAGGAGGGCCAAAGACTGAGACCTGGGACTTTCCAGCCATAGAGGTTGATGAGAAAAGCAAACAGCAAAGAACACTGAGAAGGAGATGCCAGTGAGATAAGAGGAAAGGCAGGCGGGCATGGTGTCCTGGTAGAGGAGTGAAGAAAGTGAAGAAGGAAAGTGATCAACTGTGTTAAATAAGGTGATGATTGTTCAAGTAAGACGAGAATTGACAATTGGCCATTGCTCTTGGCACCCTGTCAAAAGTTATTTCAAAGGGCTGTGGGGAGGCAAAACCCTGACTGAAGTGAGTTCAGGAGAGAACGGGAAGTGAGGGGAACTGGAGACAGTGAGTATAGGGAAGTCTTTCAGGAGATACGCAAAAGGAGTGTAGGGAAATGGTGTAGGGTCCAGAGAGGGTCGGTTTTTGTTTGTTCGCTTGCTTTTAAAATGGTAGAAACAACAGCGTGTATGATGACGGGAATAATCCTGTAACGAGGGAAAAGGGACCGGGGGTGGCGGGGAAGTACTAAAGCTACGCGCTTAAACAGACCAGAGGGATGGGATTT